ATACACTTAAATGTATTATAGACATGTTTAGAGTTTTAGGCTTATCCAGAGAAACAATCTCATGAATATTCTATAAAGTGCTGTGAACTTTGAAAATTTGTAAGTTTATACGTTGTTTTTAGTTTTGTTTCAGTAATATATGGAAACATTTTTAAATAGAATAGTTCTGTAATAAGGTAAACAACCATCAAACTATCACACCTCGGTTAACATTAGTCTTCAATATAGTTTATATGTTTAATCGTATTACATCTTAACATTAGGTTTATTAATAGTCTTATTGATCGATCAGTGTCTAAATATAAGTTAAGTTTTTTGTCGTTGATATATAATAATTTTTAAAATTTTTGGTACACTAATTAAACTACTACTTCTACATTTGTTATTATTGCTACAGTTTAGGAGGGAATAAACCAAGTCATTCAACAGACTCCCACGTGTATCAGCATTGAAGATGGCACATGTACTGTTGCCATGCGACATGCCTAGTTGGACAGACACCCAACGTCAGCTAAGCCAAATAAAAATGTTACAAACTTCAGACCACTTGGTAATCGGACTGCAAAAGCTGTACGATGGTTGTAGGTCTGTTGAAAATTTTCGATACAAAATTCATTTTAAAAAACCTACTGAATACTGTACATAAGAGATCTTAAAACAATGTGAATCCTGTTTATTTTACCATAAATAAATGTTAAAAAGGCCTATAAAATATTGGTAAAAAATATACTATGAAAATATTGTAGGACATGCGATATACTAATGTAATTTTTACAGTTTAGAATTCTCCCGATATTAACTGAAGTGATTATGTAAAACCTTAAAACAGCTAGCAATATTTTTGTTATTTTATTAGAATTTTTTGTACCTCGAAATTTTATTTTAAACTGTCAGTTACATCTAACGTTGTTACATTTCCCCATACTTTAAAAATTAAAAAAATCATAAACTAATTAAACTTGCTTAAAACGATAGCATGTGAATGAACCGTTTCTTTTATAAATTAAATAAAAACGAAGTATTTCAATATGATGTTCATAACCTATCAATTTCTACGATAAAATGTTTTCTTATTTTGTTACTATGTTGGTATTATGATAACATATAGTTTCCTTTATTGTTAACTTCAGATTGGTGTATCTGTGGATTTTATAGCTGAGATAACATTTAAAATGTAGAAAGCAACAGTCATGCATGATATAATGTGGTAAATATTTACGGAAGTTCCAAATTAAAACTTTATACAAGGGTATATAGTATGTTCTATCGAAATATTATTATTCTATATGGATATTTTTGGTAAAATTTCCTTCTCTCGCTCTCTTTTTTTGCTTGTTCCTTGCTACATTTTTAGTATCAGCCTAGACCCCGATGATAACCCACCTAAAGGAGACATTCTCAGATTTGAAGGGCTTAGGAAATTTATAGATGAAACAATGACAGCGGAAGAAAAGTCACGATTTTTCAAAAAAACGTTGCCTACTTTGATAAATAGTGCCCTAAAGCTACGACTTCTGAAACCAACGGCAGGATTTCATTTTTTGTTACAGCAGGAAGGTAGATAAATCAACTAGTTATTGAAGCACTATGAATAATATAACAATGATAAAGAAAGGTATATATTTTATCCATTTAAAGAGTCCATTTCTAAGAAATTGTTATTCTAAAGAATACTTAATACTGCATAATAGGTTTAATATTCTTGTTTTTTTGTGACACATAGATTAGTCTCATTTGAAAAATATTCGGTTACAAAAACAATGTCAATATAGCAAAAACTTGACTTTATTCGCTTGTTGTGCTTATGTTACATTCAGTTACATATATCTTTATTTAATTATTTAAAACTATTCAAGTCTGGTTTTAACATACATATCAACAATGTTAACTTTAACAAGGAAATACTGAACAGTATATTTTACACGTTTCTCATTTGTAGAATAGGATCACTATGTTTCTTTGTAACAGGTGATCTACATACTACATCTTCAAATGATTTCATACTGAAATATTACCTCTTTGATACGCTTAAAATAACAGGTTATTATGATTTCACTGAAATTATTCCGAACCACGATTATGCATTACAAAACTAAATGTTTATAATTTATGAAATATAATAAATTTATTAAAACCAGAACACATAATTTAATCTACGTAAAGCTTTGATGAACCTAAAATTTATATTTGTTTTATCGCCACATGCAAAAGAATTATTTCAGAACAATTAATACTTAAACAATAAAAATACAACTTTGGCTACAGGACGCATGCTGTAGTGTGAGACAAAACTTAAGTAAAGAGATTAAATTTGTTAGCCTTTTATACAAAAAAACAACAACAAAAAAGCTTTAACAGATCAAATGGTAATATTTTATATTGCCTGAATGTTTAAGATATCTTTTTCACTAGAGTTTGTTGGTCTAAATGAAATGTACATTTATAATGTATCACAAATGTTTTATTTGTTGTTTAATATTAATATCATCTTTTCAGAACAGTACCAAAGCCTTGACCGCAGATTACTCGTTTCGCTAGTGTCTAATGCCTTTTGTTCTCTTCTGCCAAAAAGAACTGTTAAAACCCATCCAACGTTACAAGACTTCAACTTCGGTGAGTTCTTTCGTCAAATGAAAAGGTAAGCTTATTTATTGTTGCTTAAAACAACATTTCTTATAACTACCATTTTGCAATAAAAATGTTTGTATAATTAATTCTTGAACATAAAATTTGTTTTCTTTCTTTTACTTTCCTCCAACGCCGTTAAAACCTTGAATAATCGAATGGCTTTCTTTAACATTCATATTGATTTTTAAACACAACCTGGAATGGCATAGTGGATAAGGCGCTTGACTTGCAATGTGCGAGTTGTGGGTTCAAATCCCGTCATCGAACATGCGCGCCCTTTCAGCCAAGTTTGTAATGTTACGATTGATCTCACTTTTCGCTGATAAAGAGTAGTCCAAGAGTTGATGGTGTTGACTTGCTGCTTATTACTGTTAAATTTAACACGGCTAACGCAGACAGCCCTCGAATAACTTTGCGCGAAATGCAACTAACAAAGACATTCAAACTCATTATAAGAAAACTTGATCAATCAAATCATCCACGAAGTTCAAATAAGCAAAACTTATTAATAAAATTTCAACCAGAGTAATTTATTGTTGTTTTTTTTTGGATTTCGCGCAATGCATTTCAAAACAGTTGTTTTTGATAAGATTTCTTATTGATCTACTTTTTGATATAATTTTAACAATTATTGTTTCAGGAATCACAACCTTGTTCTACAATTTCATTTTGAATAAGTATCTAAGGGAATAGATATATAATTTAAGCCGTTAGAGCTTAGTATAATACTATAATTCAGGTTAAATGGTATATTTTAATCAGAAAATATCACGGACCAAGATATACACATGAGGCAAAGTGTAAAAAATTCATTAAATTCCAACACTTGTAAGTTAAATAAACAAAATATATCCTACAAAAAATTGAGAGCATGTTTAAAACCAAAGTGTGTTTAGTATTTCGAACGTCAACGGCACCTAATGCGACACATGGACTGAAAGGCCAGATCAGAAACCTCCAAGATAAAGTTATAGCCATTCCTAATTCTGAACTGCTGATAAGAAGGAAAGCTACTAATCAACAGAACCTGACGCCTACATGGGTACTCTTAACCGAACAGAGGGATTGACAGTTGCTTTTATAACGCACACACAACTTGTTAGGACGTATTCAGGGAATATTGCGAGCTCGAACCGTGGACCTTCAGATCCTTAGCACTGCACGCTAACTACTAGGTGAATTATCCCAAAATTGAAGCGAGATAGAATTTTAGTACCAATAACACTAACGATAACAATCAAAATTAAAAGAAGTATTCTCTAAATGGAATTATCGTAAACGGGTGTCTGGGCTGAGTTTTAGTAACAAAGTTGTATCCATCGAAACAACATCTGTCCTGGATAAAACGCACAAGCCCTGGATTATCACACTGAACCATGTATTATTGATTAAAATATATTTCATTATAGAAATTTCTTTTATGACTTTCAAACCTCAGGTGGAAAGCTTTGTATCTGTTAACCTTCAGAAACGAAGTTAATAGTATCATGTCTGCTGTCTTCAGAAAGACTGAAGATAGGAAGTATTTTCAAATCCGTTCCAGCAGTGAAACATTTTTTTTTACATAAGAAAGTTCTTAGTGATCCTATTTGATGTATTGTAAACGTAACATAGTTAATTTTAAACTATATCGTTTAAAGTGTTAGAAAACATATATCTACAATGAATTTCTAAGTTATTAAAATAAACCTGCATATAAAAAAACGCATGCACATTAGAATGACATCTATATTGTTGTTTCTAGAGTAATCGCCAGTGTGCGTCAGCTGTAACACAATTCCGAAATAAACTTTGGCTTAACGTATATATTTATACATTCTGGCAGCTGTTTTGTTTGAATTAGGTTTTAGTTTTGTTTTACAATGCAACAGAAATAGCAATAATCGATGTGCCCTACTCTGCTGATAGCGCCTGCTGAAAAATATGAAGGCTATAATAATCAAGAGGCTTAATGTACTTTTGTAAGCTGTATAACTGTCGCCATTGCGTTAATAATGATAGAGTGACGGTGTTGTCTAAAATATGACAATGTTAAGTTTGCGTTTTCTTAATAGAGCATCATATTAAGAACACAGAGTAAGAAATCTGTATCACTTGACAATGGTCGTTTTTAATGGCTTGTGCTCTATTGACAAACGTGAATTTATAGCGTTTGAAAGTAACATAATTAAAATAAATTTTACATTATCGAATGCAGACAGTGGTCTCTTTATTCGACTACTTCACTTTAAATGCACGATTTGTTATGTTGGAGGATAGAACGATGTGCGAAAAGGCTTATTACAAATCTCAACATGTTTATTGAAGCGTTCATCAAGTCTCATCTACTCAAACATATTTCATATTTTTCTTGCAGCTTAAGTATGTATATGTAATTAATACAGACTACTACTGTAGCTACACATTCCATACTGGAAGGTATTAAGCGTAGAAAAAATGTTATCCACACAAAGCAGTACATTCGTTTTAAGACAAATGTCTTAAGAAGTTTTGCCACCTAGTGGCACAGCGGCAAGTCTGCGGACTTATAACGCTAGAAGCCGGGTTTCGATACCCGTGGTGGGCACTGCACAGATAATCCATTGTGTAGCTTTGTAAACTTGTACAAAGCCAATTGTATACTTTGACTGTGTAAGTTAAACATAAACATTTCCCTTCAATAGTTATTTTTTATTATTTTAATAGTGGTTTTGATTTATTAATTATTACTATTGTTTCGTGTTTTAATATACCCAACATTAAATGGTATGGGATATCTAAATTTTTTTTCTAAAAGACTTATATTAGAATATTGTATTGTATTAAGATGCTTGTAAATTGATATCGATAGTATTTTTATTTGAATACTTTTTATATTTTCCTCTATTTATTTTACTGACAGTTGAAGTCCATAAGCGCGATTTAATTGTTTTTCGAGTTTCCTGTGAGACGTCACCCAGTGGCACAGCGGCATGTCTGTGGACTTACAGCGCTAAAATTCGGGTTTCGATACCCGTGGTTGACACAGCACAGATAGCCCATTGTGTAGCTTTGTGCTTAATTACAAACAAACAATCTTGTGAGATACTCGCGAAAGTGCTTCCAATATAACTCACTTTACAAATAAAATAAAACTCTAATTTAACGTTAAATATATATTGCATTTACTTTTCTATCCATTTATCTGTTTGTATTAAGGATTTGCTTTATTTTGCGTTCATTCTAATCCAACAAGGAACATAGCTTCGAGGCTTTTAAACTGACTAAGCTCAAATAATCACTTGTTAGTAGAGAGAGAGATACATTTACAGATTATGGAAGCACATGCAAATTAGCCACTGAGAATGTTGAGATATTTCCTAAACTCCAATTATGAGGTAGACATGCAACTGTCTTTCATCTCCAAACAGATCACGTTGCCGAGGCTTGTAAAATCTCCCCAAAATGTGTTAGGTGGCTAAAAGTGTGTTTGATATCTGTTTACGAAAAGAAATATCCGTACAATTAAATTGTTAAACGATACAGAGCCAGAGGGCATAAAATTTCGAAGAAGGTATTCTTCTACGTTCTCCATGGAAACGGAAAAACTCCCACGGCGGAATATTCAGGACAGCAATGGGTTTCAAAACCACATTTCAAATTAATCAAAAGAAGCTTTCTCATTTGTAAAGTGAAGGCTATGGTTAGGAAAAAGAACCTTTCAATTCATAGAGTCACATAAATGAAGATAGAAATATCTTCTGGTACCATTAAGAAAATAATAGATAAGTATTTGAAGTTAACTAATGCTCACAAATCAAACGTTCATGTGCTTCCAGCATTCGAAATAAACAGCTGTTTCCATAGGAATATGAACTAAGAAATTTGGACAACAACCATTCCTTTCGAACAAATGCTAATCAAGCCCCCCAACCCCCGTTGCAGCTCCAACAAATTTGTGTTCCTCTATTCTGCATAAGAATACGCTTGGTCGTAGGTTCGTTCGTTTCTGGTATTTATTTAGATTTAAAAATAATTATTTCTGAAGAAATAATTATTAATCTAGGGTGCTCGAAAATTAAACAATCCTCCTTCACCCCGCGCGTGGCCTAGGACTAGGGGCTTAACTTGAGAAAATAGGAAATTAATGCAGACAAGGTGTGTAAATTTAAAAAGGTAAACGTTATTGTAACGGTAAACAATAAAAAGTGAAGAGCAAAGTAAAGTAAACTAAACTTCATAAGAAGAGTGGGACAACATTGACATGATAGCACCCAGGAAAAGCCTGATCTCAAGGAAACATCTCTGTAGGGACATTGTTGAGAAACAGGGGAAGCAGATAAAACATGGCTGTCTGGAAAAACACAGTATTTATTAGTATGTCGGATTTAATTAGTGTTTGCAAAAAATATGTAAATGACCTTTCATATAATTCTAGTAATTATAAACATTACCATTTGATAAATCACTATCACACGGAATAGTATGTTCACTGCAAATTATTGTAATGGTTGAACACACGAATTCCATTTGGTAAAATTATTGATCTATTAAAAAGGCAAAAAAGGACAAAAATCAAGCCTTCCCATTAAAAAAAAAAGTTTCGCCAACACTTTTCTATTACATGCATTCAATCTACTGCTCTATAGTTATTCAGTTAACTGTAAATCACCCTACAAGATATCTTTAGAAAATGATCAGCCACCATTATAATTTAAAAAAATGAAAGCTTTCTCTGATAGTATTGATAGTAATAATTTTGTAGAAATCAAGTATCGATAAGAACAAAAACTAAATATACCGGAATCATACTTTGTATGTAGTTGAAAGATGAAAGGTAATATTCACTATACTCTATAGAATTGTCCATATAATATACATAATTGTTCTGCAATCGATTCGGATTTGATTTTTTAGTTCAAAACAACAAAAGAATCTAAGAAATATTTTCCGATACTTCGACTTTGTGGGCACCCAAGAAATGAAAGGAAAAGTTCGGTTCTATAGACAGGTATGTTTCTGTTAGTTATATTTCGATATATATGCTAGAGAACCCTTATAATATCAGACAACTTAATTCTTATGCCTATCTATGTGTCTCGAAGTTCTAAGCATTGATATGGCTTCTACAATCACAGAAGACTCTCTAGTGAAGTTTAAGTAAAATAACTTTATTATTATTATATGCTGCTTATGATCGGTTTACTCGCAGTTTTAATATATGTAATCTTAAGAATGTTATTGATTTATTTTTCTGACACAATATTTAGGTTCTACCCTTCAAATCAATGCCTTCCCTTCCTGAGTGGTTATGCAGTGATCAACCGTTATGCCCTCTTGTGGTGCGTACCCAAGGAACTCCAAACGACGCAGAACTTCATATGTACAGAGTAAGAAATATTTATACAATACATAAAAATTAATAATTATCCTAAAATTATGAATTTAATGACAATTTTTATTTCAAATATTATAATCCGAAGTTAATATTAAGAAACAGTGGACGTAACGCTGTTTATTTCCTCTATTAACCTAATTCATACGTCAATTCATTATATAAATTAACTGAAGAGGAAAAAAAGTAAGGCTATTGGAACATAAACATGAACCAGAAATAAACAAAACTGCAATCTCTTCCTACGTTGCTGCCAGAATGAAGTATTTAGAAGAAATATTACCATATATACTCCACAATACAAAACAAAAACAAAACAAAAAACGCATGCATAAAATAATATCCACAAAAATAATCCATGACCATGGTAACCGTAGCAACCACATTCAACGTGTTATAGACATCTTCAAATCGAAATTCACAATACCATGCATTTTACAAAGAGAAAAATACATTTAGTAGTTGAGCTGAAACACTACTCCCACTAACGTTTAAAATAAAAATGAAAAGATACACTTGACCTTAAGTTTGATTTTGAAAATTAAGACAATAAAACCCAAAAACTATTCTTCTGCCTACTTATCTATCTCGAAGTTCTAAATATTGATCAAGTCTTAACTTTGATATAATTTCTGTAATACAATCACAGAGATTGTTTAACGTAAGAAAAATATTTTTATTGTTATATATTGCTAAGTATACTAAATCCAGCGTTTTATTCTATGCATCAAATTATATTTATTGTTGTCTAACATGATATTTAGATATATTAAGAACGATACTTAAACTTTAAAAAAATGTATTAAAATAACACCAAAAACACAATGAAACCCTTGTTTTACTTTGGCCATATTTAATAAAGTAGAAGTGTTCCTTCGTTGACAGCTTACTGGTAGCTGTGGTGAAATTGATCAGATGTAACTACAATGGATAATCGAAACACAGTGGTCTAGTCTCGTGTCCTTTAAAGGCATGGCCACCCTTCTTCCCAGGAGAAAATATTCTAAGGAGCTTGATTAAGTTGATGCTATTCTATGCTGTTAGGTATAGTGATATTCGCGGGAAAGTGGTGTGCGAGAGCGAGGGAGAGTAACAAAATGACATGAAAAGCAACTATATAATATAATACAAGTAATTATGCGTGTTTGATGCGAAGTTTTCCGTTCAGTATGTGTTCAGACTTAAACTATGGTATGTATATGTTTCAAGTCAGAGGTGAAGTAATTTTACCTCCTTTGTGTATTGTCAAGGTTTTTATTAGGTCATAAGAAATCACTTGAGCCCTCATTGAGGCGGTAAAATTGAAATATTAAGTTGAAAGTGCACACGAATGTTTATTTAAGCGAAATTTATGTGCAAGTATTCACTTTTGATTCAAAAACACTCTTTTTTACAGGTATGTGACTGTAGTGCAAGAATTGGAGGTGACGTCTTAAAGGGCGCAATAACAGAAGTGAGTGAAGGCGTAAATCTACATGGTGATCATAAAGAAAACCCCATATCTAAAATGATTATATCCTAAAAAATACTTCTCCGAGGGATTCAAAATTTCATCAAAATGTGAATTATTCTTAAAGTACTTATATATGCTGTGTCTATCTCATGGATCAAACCCCGAATTTTAGTGTTATAAGTCTTGAAGCTTACCGCTGAGTCACTGGAGGACATTTAAACACGAGATAGAAGTGAAGTTACACTGTTATTGCCACTTAGAGTTTTAATTTTTTTTCTTCATAATCGTCATAAAGATGTTACTTGTTCGAGAGTAATAATGTAAAACGCCTATTATAAAAATAATTAAATTAATGCAACAACCCTAAGTGTAATATAGAAGACAAGTTATATTGCCTTACAATACCCTTCTTTTTACTTGATGAAATTTAACAGTTCTTTTAGCTTTACTATTATTAATTAGAGGGTTAGTAAACTGTTAATAAAAAATGTGTGTGATGTTTGTGAGCCTTTTAATCTTCGTAAGAAAAACTAAAAAGGTAAGATATTTCAGTAAGTTTTCAAAAGCAAAGCCGTTTAGTTTTTCTTTTGCTTTAAATTACTGATATTTTATGCTGAAATATCTTGACGAAACATGCTATAAAAGGCACAGTTTTAGAAAAATAGATTATATATTATTCAAGATTGCATAAAGAAACTAATTCTGTTTAATAATATGAAATTGGTTTATTTTTAAGTTACGGTTTAAACGCCGAAAGTCGACGAAATATTGAAAACCAGAAGGCACACCTCTGATTTCGAGTGGCAATGAACAAATTAAGAGGAATTTGGATACAAAGAATAAAATATATGCAGTTAATTTGTGTTTATAACAATTCTACGGCCTATTAGTTTCAATATTTAGCCGACATTCGGCATCTAAACTGTAACTTTTCAAATGTTATGCTGCATATATATAAATAGCGTTTTATAGAATCTTTGTTTTCTCATCGTCTAATCCACTGACGAGTTTTAACTTTTAAATTAAAACTTATTGCGAAATGACGTGTGTGAGACAAAAAGATAGCTCTCAAATGCTGTTTTTTACGTACTTCTGTTTTCGAGCTACAATGGACAAAGTAAGGGGAATTAAAAAAACATCTGAAGGTAACTTGTTTTTAATAACAATTATGTATATTTAATTTTAGAATGTATGAAATTATGAAAAAATTGAAACATATGAATAAGAAATTATAAATTTCGTTGTTAGTTTTGAATAACCGTGTTACATCAAGGTCATGATATTTATACTAGTGACTAAAAATAGGATCGCTTATTTTGATCCGGTGGGATAACGGTAAGTCTACGGACTTACGACGCTAAAATCAGGTGCTCGATTCCTCGATGGACACAGCAGATAGCCCAATATGGTTTTGCTCTGAACCAAATAATATGTAAAGTTTTCATACATTGTTCAATTCTATGTTTTTATCTAGGAAGCTTCTTTACTCTGTCTTACACCCGAACTACTTGTTGCCCTTTGTTTTGTGGAATCTCTAGCAGATAATGAAGCCCTTGTTGTTGAAGGAGCGCTCTCTGTAGACGAATCAACGGTAAATCTAAACGTTACTTCTAAAAGATATATATATATTAATTTCATAGTGCTGAATTTCTAGAGCGTCACATGAAAATAGTCTTAAGTGCAAAATTTGTTTCCATTTTTATTGCCGAATCAAGGTCCTATGTATAAAAAAAATTAATATGTAAAACCAGACTACTTTGAAAGCTAAACAAAACATTTTTATGTCTCTGTAAACAATGTTTTTATATTGTTTCTCCTTCTAAGCACTTTTCAATATCAACCGCCTTTACTTCATTTCTCGGCGGATTGAAACTTGGTAGGGTTATACCTTAGTCTAATACACCCAGATATCTTTTTCATTTTTTTTTTTAAATTTAGGCCTTTTCAGGATTTTATGGGGTCGAAGATCAAACAACCCCAAAATATACATTTTGTGCTCCTGTGTTTTGGATCAATTACTCGGCTTTTTGACCAATTTACATGAGAATTCGTACAAATATACTTTTCTACAGGTCCCACATATTGACAAACAAAAATAGTGGACTTACCCATTTGTAGTAATTATAGGGGGTCGAGATGCCACAAAACATACTTATAGGGGTTTTGGTCCGTGTCTTGGCAACTGTACGTGAGATTTAGTACAAAGATATTTTTTGCAGGTTCCAAACAAAGATATAGACAATTTTGCAATTTTTGTCACTTGCTCAATTTTTCAGAGAGGAAAGCCCAATTTGGGGTTTTAGTGCACTATTTATGTGTATGTCAACCAATTTAAATGGGATTTGGTACAAAGATACATTCTTGCAGATCCAAAGCAGTGATACAGACAGTTTTAGATTTTTCTGGTGTCAAAACTGGCCATGTTGAGGTTGCATGGCGGGGACCCTGTTGCATTTGCCCGCAAATGTTGCTTCTTTAATGAAATCATTTTACTCTTTAGATTACTTTCATGTGTTGCTTGAAACTGCTTTTACAAATAATGGTTTGGTTTGTTTTGAATTTCGCGCAAAGCTACACGAGGGCTATCTGCGCTA